GCCAAGACAATACTTGTAAATGTGTCATCAGGTCTGCTGAGGGCATGACCCAGTGGCGCGCTTGCTCAGCACTAACACCACTCCCTGCTGACCTGAAATTTCTGGGTCGCTATGGTAAAGATAGCAGTGGCTATCAGAGCTGGGAACCTTGATGCTACCGGAGCAGCTTCCGGCTGATCGTACTTCGGATAAACATGCAACATCTACGTGGTAGTCGTGTAACGTGCGCATAGTCACTACTTGACTCCCAACATCTAAGGTTCTCACGTTCTAGCATCCCACGTAGACGTGCTTTCTAAATTGTGTAGGTTCGAACTCTGTGTCTAGCAAATCACGATACAACAATCTGTAATAAATAATTGGGCTCATAATTTGTTCGTGGGGGAATACTGTGAGCTGGCTCAAGCCATAACGAGTGAATTCACAACTGGAGCCTTCAGCTAACCAAAATCGGACCCTGTGACGGGCAGTCGATAGCAGTTGGGTCTTAAAAAATATTAGCGGATGTTTGATGATCATTGGATTTCGTTCGCACCACCACCAAAAGGCACGGCGGGAGAACACGAGCGTTTATCACAGCAACCACAATGGCTTCGGATAATGGTACGTGTCATGTTAGGCTAAGGCATCCGAGTTCGTGTTAATCATACATTTTCTTGAATTTCTGTTTCTTTCACTTCTGCACTCCTACTATTTACTTACTTCACACTTAGAAAGAGAGAAGGGAAGTAAAACGTAATAATGACACCAAGATATCGCGAAAGCCCTATCAATTCCCCGAACACGCTCCAAATATCAACTCCTTCCTGCGCGGACTTCCACATATCGAAACAGTGTAATTCCTTACCTAGCTCGTTTACTAGTAAATCGTCAGCATCTCCTCACCCACCTCAGGGAAAAACTCTTGTCCTATTTTTTTCTCATTTATTAAAGTGCAGAATTTCTCATACTGTATTTTTTCGTTTACAATTATTTTAGCTACCACTGTAAAACTCGTAAAATGCTGAAAATTCACCTTTTGAGTGCATAAAGCTTTTCTCAACTTGGCTTGACTTGACTGACTTGACACTGTCAGTCTTGTTGTTCTGCTCGGTTTCAACGCCTTAAGGCAGGTGGACGGTGTCTAGTTCACCGGATCATACATTTGTTGGACGCGGTTGGACGCCCAGAGTGCCCAATCGAGCTGGTGACCACTGCCACAACTACCGTGTGTGTGTGTGTGTGTGTGTGGTTCATCCACCCCTTCCGCTTGACTTGGAAGCAGGATTTTAAGACAACTCCCCTAGGTGAATTGCCAGTGGTTCATCAACCCGGTTATATCCCACATTTTGGCTTTTTGTTCCCTCAGTTTGGTGGCTAAATACCTTCATCACGTGAAGGCAATGAGCGAGAATGCTTCAGCAGAAAGTATTTGTGGTCCTTGGTCGTATGGAGAGCATTTCGGGAGGTACGAGGAAAGGATGCCCGGTCAAAACCCAAAGCAATCATTCTGAGACTTTCGGAAACTGAGAAAGTTAATAAAAAGAACAGTTTGTTAGGTGTGATAACTTCCCGGTTTACATTTCTGTTAACCATAGATCGAATGCTATTTTTCGAATGCCCATTTGGTTGCATCGTGATGAAGTAAAAGCAGTACCAAGATAAATGTATGGAATCCAGAAAGTGACTATATGCAAAAAATGCCGCTGAAAGTGACATTCAACCATCTCACTCGTCTCTAATTGTTGACTAGACTGGCCTCGGGGTTTCTAACCTGAAAGCCTCGTGACGCTACTTTATGACAACCCTGTGGTAAGCAGGATTAAACCCTATAGCCATATAAACCCACGTTTCGATTATTATAGGAATTGATGACGTAAACCCGGTAACGAACCGCATGACGCCCCACTAAGAAATGTGTGGTATTAGACCGAACGACAACGAAGCTGACAACCACTAAATTTGAACAGCAATAATGGGGTTCGCGTCTTGCACCTTGGGACCCAAACCTCGTCAGTAACAGAAACCTAGACCGCCTGACCGAGATTCTTCGCTAGGGGTTTCACTCCCTCGTTCCTGGTTTTAGTTTGATTTTCTTAGACATTCTTCTATTCTAGATCATTTCACTGCATCTGTACACGTGCATACTGCAGTCTATGTGATCATTAATATATGGTCATTAAATAACAGAATCATAGGCGGAGAAAGATTGCGGTCAAAATTACTCACCAAACACATTTGTTACCAAGGTAGCGCCAGAGTGATAAGCCATTCACGCTGTTTACACAGTTTGTGATGGTAATTTTGAATGGCTAGTGCCAAGTGTGGATGCTCGGCCATCTACATCGGCAGAACGGAGAGACAACTGCGTCATCGAGTAACCGAGCACATCCCGGTCTGGCTTCAGAAAACAATGAGTGGGAACTTCGGAAGTATGAGGTCACCAATGACGCGTAGNAACTCAGTTCGTCGATCACACAACACCTGGTCGAAATGAAACAGTGTCATGCTGCGCGATGCGTTCAGAATCCTCTACAACACAAACAACGCCAAGGTTCTAAAATACTTGAAACATTGGGTCCCCTTTATCCAATTCGTTAGAACAGAGAGAAGACAAATACTGCGAGATGTTAACATTTCTTTTAATCTCTTCAGTCGCTACAACGTAAAACAATCTGGTATTTATAAAAGCAAGTTTTTGATAACTACAGCGACTGAAGAGATTAATGGAAATGTTAACATCTCGCAGTTTTTGTCTTCTCTCTGTTCTAACGAGTTATGAAATACGCCGAGGCACTAACCATTCAAAATTGCCATCACAAACTGTGTAAACAGCGTGAATGGCTTATCACTCTGGCGCTACCTTGGTAACAAATGTGTTTGGTGAGTAATTTTGACCGCAATCTTTCTCCGCCTATGATTCTGTTATTTACTGACCATATATTAATGATCACATAGACTGCAGTATGCACGTGTACAGATGCAGCGTAATGATCCAGGATACATTGTGCAAACTGTGTTTTTGGCTTCTTTATTCAAATTCTTCTATTTATTATACGCGTGTGATAACTTCGCGGCGAGGTATTCCGATAACATGTATAAAACATCCCAGCCTCCACACGTACACTAGAGTGTGACCGCAGCCATCTGACACTGCTCGCGACCTCAATCTTGTTTGTAAACTGCTACTTTCTTAAGTAATTTTTTACAATTCTTCATCAAAGTCACAACATGTTCCAGAAAGAATCGATATTGCAAATCTTTATTTTCTTAGATATATGGACGGCAATTTGTAACGAGATAGTTCGGTGAATAATAAGTGCCAACGGAAACGACAGTGCTCAGGTCTAAACAAAAAGTTTATGAACCCTGTTGGTCTCCTGCAGTCGAGGTCATACAATGTGATGAACTCACATTGTATTAACCTCGACTGCAGGAGACCAACAGGGTTCATACATTTTTTGTTGTATGCTATCATCTGAAAGTGTGGCATACCGTCGCTTATTTTCAGTCAATTACTATTTCGCTCACAGTCACAAAACTAGTCATGTAATCTTGGTAGGAAATGAGGTTTTCAATTATTTCAAATTGTTATTTTCATCCTGGTCGCCAATTTATTTTGAATTCCGGCTTTCAAATATCTGTTCAATAAATGCTCGAATTCAGATTCCCTACATCTACATATATGTGGGTAAAACTTCGTCAAATAAATTTTCTTGCAACAGAATCACTGTTTTGTCATCAAAACCTTTCAGTTAGATGTTGACAAATCTATTGGCGTTTTTGAATACATATGCAATGGCCCCGATGGATAGATTAGATTGAGGGCAATCTTCTGGGCTTAGGGAGAACAGTGGAAACTTTACGTGCTAGAGTGAAACAGAGTGTACTACTTGTTGACATACCGTTACTCGCCCAACGCCTTCAAGATCGAATTGACCCCGAAGAACTCCCGGTATTGGTGTTATGAGGTTAAAAAACTGGAGGTTTTTCTTGTCAGACCCGATCTAACGCAAGAAATGATTTCGTTTAGAGAATAGCTGCAAACACTGTGATCCTACTACCTCCTCTCCTTGGGGACTCGGAAAGATACTCCCGTTTTTGGTTGTGAAAATTCCTCTCGAATGTTTTTCCACCTCGGTGATGTGTGTGTATGTGCGATTACTTATTTACCTGCATGGAGTACCCTCTTGATTCTCAAATAAGTCTTGGAACTGTAGGACCATCCGTAAAAGCGAACGCATAATCGATGCACCAAAAGAACACCAGGCAAAAGTGTCCACGATGTTCAACATGCCGGACGTGCAGAAACCTTTACAAGTCTGCCTCTGTCATTTTCGGCCTTTTGACCCACTGAGTTCAGACCAACGACTCAAAGGCTCCGGTTAGAGAGTGAGAAAAAAGTAAAACCCATTTTTCGGTATCATCAGGTGCCTTCACGCGGGTCATTCTTTTACCAATTAGTCTCATCTTCTGATGACCTATTTACTATATTGTGACTCTAAGGGTATGCAGTTTCTGTTTAATACAAATCTCTTAGAATTAGCAAATCGTGAGACCCTAACGCCTTCAGTACTACTGTTTAGGAGAAACTGCTATGAAATCTGTGTTGAGGTAAACTGCTTCTTCCCACGTTGATTTTCTGTATGGAGCCCCACCCTCCGGGATGAACGTGTACAATGAGATCGATATTAGTCCGGTCCCTTGGAACTGTCATCCGGCTTCTCCCCATCGAGTTGTGGGTGAGTCTTCGACTTGTCCAGTCACAGAGGTACACACAACACATCAGTATGTACTCCTGTCTTATAGGGTTTTAAAACAAGGTAACCGAAAGAATATAGATTCATCCAAATCGAATACAATTATATCACTAGTACGTACGTGTTTTTGGACTATTCAAATCTTCTTCCTGTTACGGGAGATACTCTAGCTTCCCTTCTTCCTCAGTTCATTATAGGATGAATGAGTTCCTTTAATTCCTCTTTGTTTTTTGTTTCCAGGTTGTCGTAAGTACAAATGCGGCGTTTGTTTTGTACGTACGAGTTGCTCAAAGCGGGCCTGTATGCGACAGTTGGTGCCACTGTTGCGATACATCTCAGTCGTGGACCCAGTGACCGTGCCCGGTTTGTTGACACTGTGAACGCGGCGGAAATTGCAGTCCCACAACCGGGTTTACCCACCACCGGTGGTGGGTTTATCCCTGCCAATCTAATGCAGTCGAAGCCGTTCAATTCAGTGGGTTTGCCAACTTCCGGTCATTTGCGTGTTTTTGATGGGTATGTGTGCGCCTACGATCGACGAAACCGAATTCCACTGTGGGTCATGGAACATCTGACACCGGCAAAACTGGCTACTGCAAATTCTACGGAGAATTTAGTGGACAGGTGNGGTGGGTGTTTTCTGTAAACCATATTCCCATCAAATCAGCTTCTCTTTTTGGTCATGATCGCATCACTTCAGCCTCGGGAATTGAGGTGGTAAATCGTCATGAGGCTTCAGTACCCGCGTAATTGCTTCCCGATGGATAGCTTCGCGTAGTGGGTGGGGCTTATGTGTGCTTGTCACTGCGATTTCTGTGACTTCAGTTTTAGACCCCAAATAACTGACCAGTAACTCGTTGTGCCCCCAGAGCTCAGTAATTTTTCTTTACATTTCGCCGTACCGCCTTTTTATCCAATAACAGAAAATTACAAACAATTCTCCAGCAAGTGGAGTTTGACTAATCCGCTACGATGACAAAGGGGAATTTCGGTAGCAGAGATGGAGTTTTACATACACGATCTGAGGTCGAAAAGCTAGCAATTTTAACCACTTAGTCATCATCGCCGCCCCGCTACTCCTGATCACCCATCACGATGAGACTGCACCTTGACGTGGTGTGATGGCTTGCGCGCCTCAGTGACCCTG